AGGAGCGCGCGTCCGAGCTTTCGCGCCAGGTGGACGTGAGCGTGGAGCTGCTGGCCTCGCTCAAGCAGGACCTGGTGCACAAGGAGCAGGAACTGAGCCGCAAGCAGCAGTGAGTAGACCTTCGGGGCACTGCGGGTGTGCCCACGCGAGTCACTGTGCTGCCGCCACCCCCGTGGGCGTTCCTGAGTGTGTCTTGTGTGTGGACACTCGTGGCCTTGTGATATGGATCTGTGGCCACGAGCGTGCAGTGGTGGTGTTTGGGGGGCCAGAGTGTCCTGACGATGTGTGTTTGGCACTGTGAGTACGTGGCCTGTTTGTGAAGACTGCATCTTTCTCGTCTTTCTCTGTCGTAGCCAAGACCCATGCACGTTGGCACCAGATCTTCCCTTGGCCTACTCAAAAACGTGGCTCAAAGCCAGGCTCTGTGGCTCACGCGTGCCCAGCACTTTAGGAGGATGAGGCGAGAGGATTGTCTGAGCCCAGGAGTCCGCGACCAGCCTGGGCAACATGATGAGACTTCGTCTCTTCAATAAATCAAAAAATTAGCCGGGAATGGTGGCATGGGCCTATAGTTCCAGCTACTTGGGAGGCTGAGGCAGAAAGAATACCTGATCCCAACGGGTGGAGGCTGCAGTAGTGGTGATCGTGCCACTGCTTTCCAGCCTGGGCGACAGAGTGAGACTCCAACTCAGAAACACAAAAATAAAAACAAAAACATGGCTCATTTCTCCCCTGTCCCTTTTCCATCTTCAGGTTTTCTCTATCTGTGTTTCATTCTACGGGCACATGGATGTGATGGCATTTCTGCCATCTCCCGTAACCCTTTTCATACTGCCTCTTTTCTCTCCTCTGAACAGAAAACTCCCTGTAAGTATTGTTTATACTCCTTGTCTCCGATTTCTTTTCTCACTTTCTCTCTTGAACCCACTCTGATCGGGTTTCTGCATCCACCACTGTCCTCATGTCACCAGTGACCTTCATGTTGCTGAAGCCAAACCATCATCTTATTTGGCCCCTCGGCAGCATTCGACGTAGCTGATCCTTGAAATGCTTTCTTCACTGGACTTCTCTTGGATTTCTTTCTATCTTTTTTGTCTGCTCCTTCTGGATTTTCTTTGCCGGCTTCTTCCTCACATCTTGGGTCTTTAAATGTGGGATTATGAACTACAGATGGTTTGACTATGGGTTTTTTACTTTCTGTTGGTGCCAAAGCAATATGCATTCAGTAGAAATCATACTTGAAGGCCAGGCATGGTGGTTCACACCTGTAATCCCGGCACTTAGGGAGGCTGAGGCAGGAGGATTGTTTGTGCTCAGCAGTTCAAGATCATTTTGGGCAACATAGCAAGATCCTGTCTCTACCAGAAATAATTTTTAAAAATGAGCCAGATGTGATGGCACAGGTGCCTGTAGTCCCAGCTACTTGGAAGGCTGAGGCAGAAGGATCGCCTGAACCCAGGATGTCGAGGCTGTGGTGAACCATGAGTGTGTGGTGAGCCAAGAATGTGCAGTGAGCCATGAGCTTGCCACTGCACTTCAGTCTGGGTGACAGAGTGAGAATTCGACTCAAAAAAATACCAAACAGGCCGGGCTCGGTGGCTCAGCCTGTAATCCCGCGCCTTGAGAGGCCAAGGTGAGTGGATTGCCTGAGCCTGTGGGTTCGAGACCTACCTGGCAACTTGG